TTGCCTGGCATGTGTCAGGCACTGGGTTCTATTCTTAGCACCACATAAAAATAAATAAAAATAAAAGTTCCATCAACAACTAAAAGAAATATATTTTTAAAAAATGAACTCAAAATTAACCCTAGATTTAAGTGTTAAGTGTAAAGCTTTTACATCGCCCCTAGTCATCACATCATCTTAGCCAGGGCCCTAGACATCATGGAACAAAAGAAGCCATCCCCATTTGGCCCTATCTGAATACCTAATATAAAGAACCTGCCAGCACAATATTTCACAGACCTCTTACATTCTGATCATGAGAAAAAATGCATCATTCAATGGTCTCTGGTTCACAGTATGTTCCATATCCTGTAGGATAGTACTCTATCCTCACAAGGTTTTGTCACAACTAGTAACACAGCAAAATCTTCAAGAAACCATTTCAACATTGGCCAGGTCAATGAAAATAGAAAATGTTAGGAAAGGTGCACAATTGTTTTAGCAAATAGATTACATCTGAAACTGTAGTAGAAATTGGAATAACCACCTGATTAAGCTTATATCACTCCAGTCACTGTCCACAGTTTACTTTGTACTGTTGCCCAATAAACTATTTCAAAACTTAGTAACATGAAGCAACAGTTGCATTGAATAAAACTGGGATTTTATTATTAATGAAGAAAAGAAAAAGGATAGCTATTGGGTAACCAACTAATAGCATTTACTACATATGACCAGTGAAACATTTTAAACCAATCAATCATTACCCTATAGGACTTGAGGGCAGAAAAGCAGGTTAGTAATTAAAGAGCATCTATAAGGAGACACAATGTGAAGAGTTTATGTTGTTAGGGGCTTTTCTCCTAAAGTAGAGGAAAAGTCATATTCAGACCTATTGTTTTAAATTTTTTTGAAATGTTGTTTTTCTGTTTTTATCTCTACAATCCTTTACTAAAGTCTATGGAAGTGAGATATGAGATATAAATAGTTTTGAGGCCTAACTTTAGTGTTCACTCACTCTGCTTACACATTTGCTCTCATTCTCATTCATTTATAGAAGTGTGTCTATATCTTTATTTATTTATATATCTCTATACAGTTGTCCTTCTATATCCACAGGAGATTGACTCTGGGACCTCTTCAGGTACCAAAATCTGTCGATGCTCAAGTCACTTATACTGAACGACAAAGTAAGACATATTTGAATACAATCAGTGTACATCTTCCAATATACTTTAAATGACTTCTACATGACTTTTAATACTAAATGTAACGTAAATAGTTCCTATACTATATTGCTTAGGAAATATGATAAGAGCAAGGCATGGTGGTACATATCTGTAACCCCAGTGGCTCAGGAGGCTGAGGCAGGAGGATTGTGAGCTCAAAGTCAGCCTCAGCAATCTAGCAAGACCCTAAGCAACTCAGTGAGACCCTGCCTCAAAATAAAAAATAAAAGGGCTGGGGATGTGATGAAGCGATTAAGTGCCCCTGAGTCCAGTCCCCTGTACTACTACTACTACTACTACTACTAATAATAATAATAATAATAATACAAAATTTTTTAAATGTTCAGTACAAATGCCACTTTTTTTCCTGAATATTCTTGATCTGTGGTTGGTTACAACCTCATATGTGGAATAAATAGATTGAGAGGGCTAACTGTATTTATCATATTCATTCTTTAAACCTGTCCTTTATTGAGTCCATGAGCCCATTTCACCCTTCCAATAAATTTCATTTTTGGTTAAATCATGCAAGAGTCAGTTTCTTTTATACAGCCATATACCACATAACACATATATAACAGTGGTACCAAAAGATAATGTGCTTGTGGTGATGCTAGCATAAATAAACCTATAACACTGACCGTGGTATTGACATAAAATTATGTACAGAACATAATGCTTGATAATAAACTATTATTGGTTTATGTATTTACTGTACTACACTGTTTATCATTATTTTAGTGTGTACTCTTCTACATCTAAAGAAAAGTTTACTGTGAACCAATATGCCATGTTAAGCTGGCAGAAGCCTCATGCACATTATGACTGCATCAAGACACCATGCTGAATGATTGAGCTATGTTTTCCAGGTTTGTGCACATACACTCTGGGATATTCGTCTGACAATGAAGTAATCAGAACTTGTCCCATTTTAAGCAATGATGTATGGCTGTATTTCCAACTAGCATAGAATTTAGTATCAGAAGTAAAGTCTTCCATGTACTGTAGTGAATTCTCAGATAACTTTCTTTTGGTTATCTGGCCAGATGTGGTGAAGACAATGTGGTGAAAATAATCTGGGATGAGACTCTAATAGCTATCATCATCTCTCAACAAAGAAGCTACTTAAATCATTGTCTATTCTCGCCCAAACTCCATTGTCCATTGCAGGTAAAATTCTAGGATAGGATTCTTGATCTAGACATGATCTTCACATGGAACAATATCTATACCAATATTTAAATCTGATTTAAATTATGTTCTCAAACGTGTTGTCAAGAATCTTCAAAGCTGAGTGCAGCCTGTAATCCCAGTGATTTAAGAGGCTGACGCAGGAGGATCCCAAGTTCGAAGCCGGCCTCAGATACTTAGCAAGGCCCTAAGCAACTCAGTGAGATTCTGTCTGTAAATAAAATACAAAATTGGGCTAGAGATTTGGCTCAGTGGTTGAGAGGTCCTGAATTCAATCCCTGGTACCAAAATAAAATAACCTTCAAATTTCAATTGTATAAATATTGCCTCTTTACTGATACCTATTTGCTAACTCCTACTGTTGTTTTAATGTGCAAGGGATTCTTCCTACTCTCAGTCCTTCCTGTTATCTTTTTTATTCCCATTTCAAATCTCAGTGCTCTATTCTTTTCTAACCATTGCAATATGATGGACACAATACCTGTATTTTATTTATTTATATGCAGTGCTGAGGCTCGAACCCAGTGCCTCACACATGCTAGGCAAGTGCTGTTCCACTGAGCTACAACCCCAGCCCTGCATGAACTTTTATTTAAAGAACTGACAAAGCTGCAAATTCACTGAGTTTTGTAATTTGATATGGCATTAGATCAAAATATAACTTTGGGTTTTGGTTACCTTTTTTGTGCTATAAAAGTGATTCCTTGAGGATGGTTATAGAAATTTTGTCCATAAGCTCAACAAAAAATTCAAGGAATTTGATTGTCCTTTAATCTATTCAGAGCAGTAATGAGTGGCCATCTTATTCTACAATTGTTAAAATTTATGTAACTATAACCACAATGTAATTTTAGAACATTTTGCTTTAAAGGGAAACCCTGCTTCTGCTAATAACTCATTAGCAGTTATTTCCAGTGTTATCCTAAATCTCCTAGTACTAGGCAACCATTAATGTGTCTCTATCTAGATTTGCCTATACTGAGCAGTTCGTGTAAGTGGGATCATATAATATGTGGCCTTGTGTCTTTTGATTCTTTCACTCATCATAGTGCTTTCGAGGTTTCATCTATGTTGTAAAATGTATTAATATCATATTTAATTCCTTCCTTATGGGTAAATAATATTCCATGGTATGGATAGACCATGGAATATTATTTGGCCATTTGAATTGATGGCCGAATCAATGATTTGATTGATGGCCATTTGAATTGTTTCCACCCTTTGGCTATTGTGAATAATTGTGCTATGAATATCCTTGGAGAAAATCCAATTTGGTTCCAGTTTGTAGCCTACAGGAAGGAGTATATAGCAGTGAACAAAACAGACAAAAATTTCCTGCCTTGATAAAGCTATAATATTCTAGTAGTGGAGCAGACAATGAGGGAAGAGCAGGTATGAAAGCCCCAAGATGGAGGAATGCCCCTATAATAGCCAGGAACAGGCAAGAGCCATCATGGCAGGAGGAAAGGAATAAAGGGCATGATTGGAAGGACATGAACTCAAGAAGAAGAATTGGAGGCAAATTCTCATAGCCATTGTAAGAACTCTGGCTTTTGCTCTTTAATGAGATGGTGTATTCGTTTCCTTGGACTATTATAACAAATTATCTCCAAACCAGTGGCTTAAAACCCACAGAAATTTACTCTTTCACAATTACAGAGGCTAGAAATCTGAAAGCATGTCAATCTCTGCCTTTACCTTCACTTGAACTTTTCCTCTTCTGACTTTTCCGTTCTCTTGTAAGGAGCTTGCCATTGGTTTTAGGGCTCAGCCAGGTAATGCAGGATGAGTTCATGATCCTTAACTTTATTATTTATGCACTGACCCTTTTGCAAATACTGTTGCATTCACAGGGTCTGAAGGTTAGGTTGTGGACATAGCTTTTGGGGGACCACTGTTCAACCCACTACAATGGGAAGCCTTAAAAGATTTTGAGCAGAGAAGGGACAGGATCTAAAAGTAGAAACAGATGCACCTGTAGGAGGCCACTGGAAAAATCTAGACGAGTCATAGACAGCAGTAATGGTGGAGAAAAGCCACCAGAAATGGTGATATCTCAACTATGCAGGGCAAAATAAAATTTTTTACTATAAGAAATTCTCATCCTTTTATTTTTCTTTCATGTAGCTGCTGGAAAATGTGCAGGTCCACACATGGCTCTCACTCTATTCCTATTGGTCAGCATCGCCCTAACTGGAAGTAAATTCCAAGCAGCAAAGGGCTTTCATCCTTCTTGTGCCTCGACATTTTATTTTTTCAACGTAATTGTTCTGACACCAACTTGAACGGGTAGGCGTGAGGAGGCCGCGGGTTTCTATTTACAGAGCCTGAGTACGGGAAGTCAAAGCTGAGACCACTAGCAAGCGACTGCCAGGGCCACGCCCACACGGTCCAGGCCTTGGAGTCGCGCGGCGCTTGCGCCTCCAGCTGGAACCGTCAGAGGCTGGGTGAGTCCTCAAGCACATGCGCAGTCATGCCCGGCAATGGGCAGAGGCAGCCAATGACATTTAGCAGATGGCCCGCGCGCGTCCCAGGCCCCACCCCCAGTGAAGTCCCTCCCCTTCCCGCCCTGCGGCGCGGCACGCACGGGCGGTGCGCGGGTGGGCGGGTCCTGGTGGCGCGGCCTGACGGACCCTAGCGGCGGGAGTCTGCGGGTAGTTTTTTCGGTGGTGGCGAGCCTGGAACGCACGCGGTGCTGTACAACATGGCGGACGAGGAAGGTAAGGGCTGCGGGCGCCTTGGTAGTGAGACCTGGGCGACCTTTTGAAGTCTTGAGGAGCCAGGGGTGGGGAGATAGCATCAGGCCCCGCGCCTGATGCCTGCTCTCGCTGGTGGGTCTGCCGCGTATCCGCCGGGCCTTAGGCCGACCTTGCCTCTTGGCCCTGACTCCACGGAGGAGTGTCGAGCAGAAGCTCTCGCAGCAACTGTACTCCACGGGTTTCAGGCTTCCCACCTTTGAGGGTACACCTAGAACCCGGGTCGCCATTAGTGTCATGGGATGGAGGGAGCGAGGGTACTAAGAAGGTGTGGGAAAAAGGCCGGGTGGTTCCGGAATGGGGATAACTCCGAGTTCAAAACGTCCTAAAGAACACAAGCCCGCATGAACAGTTGAGTGGCCGCCTGTGGAACTTTCTGGCCCATGGGTGAGCGCTTCTGTTGGGTATTTGAGCCCTGCCTCAGCCACGTGGTGAATTGGAAGGGAAGTCAGCACGTGCAACAGCTTGCAGTCTTTACCAGGCAGTCGACCCATGTGTTTGGCCTTACCCATTTGAGTTTTCTGCACCAGTGCTAGATTAAAATCCTTTTTCTACCTATCTTAACTTTCAGTTTTGTTTCGTTTGTTCCGAGGAAAAATTACCAAATCTCGTGTTTGTTTTAGTAGTTATTTTACCAAAGAAACATAAGAAGAAAAAGGAGCGGAAGTCTTTACAAGAAGAAGATGTAGCTGTAAGTAGGGATGTGTTTTACTTTGCTTTGACTAAAAAGACTAGTTAACATATTAAACTAAAGAAGTGTTAAATATTCTCAACGAATGGGCTAGCATTCACTAGTCATTGTGTAGAGCCAAAACACTGAAAAGCCAAAGGCAGACAACCTAAGTTTCTAATTATACATAGTTTACAAAATGCTGTTGGCAACAGTAACTGTTCTTCCTGGATTTCTCTTTCTTATCCCATCAGCAGACCCCCATTTCCTTTTATTTTAAATGTATTGCATCCATCTTAGTGGCACTTCACCTAAAGAGCTTCTGGTTCATTTCTTCCCTGTGGAGGTTCTGAGGAAAAGGCACACAATGCCTTATTTGTCATTTAAAAGGCATACACCACTGTGGTAGTAATGGAATTGTTCAAAATAGATGGAAAGATCTAATAGGTCATGTATCTGTCCTCTTAAAGGAAATACAACATGCTGAAGAATTTCTTATCAAACCAGAATCCAAAGTGGCTCAGTTGGATACATCTCAGTGGCCCTTGTTGCTAAAGGTATGTGTTGTGTGCCTAAGGTTGATGTCTGACTTTGATACTATTTCTAATTGTTGTTAAACAGTTAATTAAGAATATTTACTACTAGGAGCTGGGGTTGTAGCTCAGTGGTACAGCACTTGCCTTGCATGCCTGAGGCACTATGTTCAATCCTCAGCACCACATAAAAATAAATAAAATACTGTGTCCATCTACAACTAAAAAATATTTTAAAATAAATAAAAAAGCATATTTACTACTAAATCTTTCACTTTAACAAATGCCACCATAATAAGTCACAGTCTAAAACAGTGACATTTCAGGTATCTGAGATAAAGGGCCAGGTTATTTTAAAATTTCCAGTGCATCCAACATTGTTGTTCAGTAAAAATGTCACCACAATGTTAAATTACTATCAAAATTTATAAACAAATTCGTTTCTTAACTTACTCCATCTTGTACACCTGCATCAGTTTGTGGACCAGACTTGCATTGCTTTACTTCTGGGCTTTTAGGCCAGACCTATTTGAATCACATTGTGTGTGATCTTGGACTAGTTGTTTAAACTTTTTAAGGCAGTTTGCTCATAATATCTTCACTTAGGAAGTTGGGCTGAGGGTTAGGTGTTCTATGAAACATATTTAGGCACAGTTTCTAACATATAGTATTCACTATTTCTTTGAGGTTTAAATTGGGTATTTGAGAAATAGAGTTAAATTACACTGTTTTCATAATTTTCACAATTAAAATGTTACACAGCTCCGGTTGGGGCTGTAGCTCAGTGGTAGAGCACTTGCCTCATAGATGTGAGGCACTAGGTTCAATCCTTAGCACCACATAAAAATAAATACATAAAGAGATACTGTGTCCATTTGTAACTAATTTTTTTTTAAAAAATGGATAACAGCTATGAGTCTTAGAGAAAAAAGTTAGTGAGATAACCCTTGACAGTTTTAATAAAAATCATTGTGTATGGGATGATGAAAGAATAGTATTTATATAATTTAATCAATTTGAGTTTCTGCTTGGCCAGATAATCACTGTCATTTAAGCAATATCTCTTTTCTGTTGTTGGCCTGGAAATATGCTAATAAACAGGGTATGTAAGGTCCCAAACTCCAGGAATGGGAGATAGGTAGTTGAAACATTATTGCTGTTGTTGTAAGTACCATGGAGAAACTAAACTGATGATGAAAGATAGACTTCAGGTAGTGAATTCTTAACCAACTGGTGATCAAGTTTCAGGAGATTACAAAGGAGCAGAGATGTGGGGCATATGGAGCAAGAATAAGCTGGTGCCAGTCATCTTCAATTTGGCTCTTTTGTTGCTGAGAAAATCAAAGCTATTCCATGTTTTATTCAAATCCTACACAATGAAGCCCAGTATGTATTCTGTAGTACCCCAGTAAGTCTCTTTTTCTAGAGCAATGACTTGAATCTACAAGTAAGTGCTCAAATTTGTCTTGTTCCAATATTGGGAATTTTCCCAGTATTTAAGGAGTTTTAACAGTCTGTCACAGCAACTAATGGTAATGTAGGCACAAAAATCTAGATTTATGAACTTTAAGGGTTGATGATGGTGCTAACTCTTGTTTTAGATGTGTCAGTGGTTCATTTATTTTATGTTATATTGTTGCTTTCTAGAATTTCGATAAGCTAAATGTAAGGACAACACACTATACACCTCTTCCTTGTGGTTCAAATCCTCTGAAGAGGGAGATTGGGGACTATATCAGGTAAATGTGTTGGGATCAAGCATTGTTCAATCAAGTTCTTTTCAAAATAATGCTTTCACATTATTTATATTCAAAGAGGTAGTGTCATCTTAGAATGGCTTTGCCCTGGATATATAACCTATATCTGTGATGGATTTTTTTTTCTTTTTAATTCTTCAGAAAATTATTGTTGGTGATGGTGGTGGTAGTGATTTTTGGTTTTGGTTGGTTGAAGAGTTCAGAACAGGTAGTACATTTTTTTTTCCCCATTCTAGGACAGGTTTTATTAATCTTGACAAGCCCTCTAACCCCTCTTCCCATGAGGTGGTAGCCTGGATCCGACGAATACTTCGGGTAGAGAAGACAGGACACAGTGGCACCTTGGATCCAAAGGTGACTGGCTGTTTAATCGTGTGCATAGAACGTGCAACACGTTTGGTGAAATCACAACAGAGTGCAGGTATGTGAAAGATGGAGCAAAGGGCTGGCTAGTTAGAGATTGGAAGGCACTCTGCATTTGCTTCCCTTGTGCATTTTGGCTCTTGGAAATTTCTTAATTAGGAGAGAGAAATTCCTGAAGCAGGGATATTCTTTTGGTTTTCATATGCCCTTCTGTCCTTTGCCAGACCCAGGTTGGTCTCTTTTGGAGTTTGAGATACTGGTCATGTGCACATTGAGTCAATGAATTCTAACACTGAGGCAGAATTCTGTCCAGCTCTGGACTTGTCATTCCAGGCTCCTCTCCTGCTGCCTAAAGTACCCTTTTTCTCATTCTCACCTGAGAAAATTCTACTTACCTTAGCAAGGTATTTTCCAGTTGGGCTCTGTACTGGGTGTCCAGCTGTCCTTGTCAGCCCCACTGACCTCCAAGTGAGAAAAAATAACTTCATTTCTTGTTCCCATCAGCACCATGAAATCTGTCTTTTAATAAAAGTTTTATGTAAACATGATATGAAATATCTGCTTTTTCTGCTATGCAAAATGGCAGTGATTAGGCATGTTAGAAGTATAAAAAAAACTTAGTGGCCACACCTGACTACTCTTTTGTCATTTTTCAGGCAAAGAGTATGTGGGAATTGTCCGGCTGCACAATGCTATTGAAGGGGGGACTCAGCTTTCTAGGGTAAGTCTGCCACTGTAGGGAGGGCACCTTAGATTGCTTGGGTTTCTGAGCCCCTAACTATGTGGAAACAGGTTAGCTTTCCTAGCTTATCATCTCTTATGCCCTTTTCAGTGGGCTTCCTTAGCTAGCCTGAGGAGGGGAATACTAGAGGTGGGGACAAACCCTTACCTGAGTAGTTAAAGAAAGGGCATTTTAGAGCTGTGGTTGTGGCTCAGTGGTAGAGTGCTTGCCTGGTATGTGTGAGGCACTGGGTTCCACCGTGAGCACCACATAAAAATAAATAAAGGTATTGTGTTCATCTACAACTAAAAAAAGATTTTAAGATATTTTTAAAAAGGGTATTTTTGATCTTAATAATTGAAATAAACCTGTCTCAATTGTGTTATAAATTCCCCAAATATGCCCTTTAAACTTATGTAAGAATCTATGTGATGAAAGTGCTTTGGTTTGTATTTATTCTTAGGCCCTAGAAACTCTGACAGGTGCCCTGTTCCAGCGACCCCCACTTATTGCTGCAGTAAAGAGGCAACTCCGAGTGAGGACTATCTATGAGAGCAAAATGATTGAATATGATCCTGAAAGAAGACTAGGTGAGTCGTTAGACCTGTGAGGAACTGAATTGCCACAGACTGCAAGTGAGTAGGAATGCAAAATTTTTGAGGGTTCCACTGTGTTAAAAGTAGATGCACTTAGCGTATTGTATATTCTTCTCCTGCATCTGTCTTCTCTAGTCCTGATGGCTCAGATGGAGAATAACTCAGGTTCACAACCAAATATGTGTTTACTCTGTAAAATAGGTGCAACTTTTTTTGTATATGTGTCTCAGGAATCTTTTGGGTGAGTTGTGAGGCTGGCACCTACATTCGGACACTGTGTGTACACCTTGGCTTGTTGTTGGGAGTTGGCGGTCAGATGCAGGAACTTCGGAGGGTTCGTTCTGGAGTCATGAGTGAAAAGGTATGCCATTGTGGGGCTAGAGGCTTTAGAACTGATTCTTAATATCTGCCAGCCCTTGATGGAACCTTACATGCTTCATATCCTGGGAAAGACGATTTCCAAAGTGTTGAGTTCAGTTCAGGGCAGCTTCCCTGTTCTGTTAATTAAACTTTGGAACATTAAAATTGACTAGGGGAGATGATCAGATAGAAAATATTAATCTATTCTATTTACTTCCTGGTCTACAAAAATGCCTGCTTAAATCTAATTTAGCAACAGTTAAAATAACAATTCTAAGAGACTGAAGATTCCTAATGACCTTAGACTAGCAGACAAGTTCACAAGTAGTTACCTTCAATTTTAAGAAGTTTGGGTTCTGGTGGATATTTGAGATATGAAGACACTGAATTACTTTCATCTGTGGCTGCTTTTCAGGACCATATGGTGACAATGCATGATGTGCTTGATGCTCAGTGGCTATATGATAACCACAAGGATGAGAGTTACCTGCGGCGAGTTGTTTACCCTTTGGAAAAGCTGTTGACATCCCATAAACGATTGGTTATGAAAGATAGTGCAGTAAGTTCTGGATTAAGAGCCCACATTTGGATAGGATGTACTCCAGAGATGAGACAGTCCATGTTCTGAAACCATTCTATTTTTTAAAAATGAAACATTAGTACTGTGAATTACATTTATCTTTTTCCTTAGGGTCTAATTCCCCTCCTATTGGCATAGGTTAGATGCTAGAGTCTCTGCTGTTAATAACGGAAACATCTATGAAGTCAAAACTATATATATATATATATATATATATATATATCTTTAAAGGTTTAATGCTAATTCTCCTTCTATTTAAAAATAGAGCAAATTAAACATTGACTTTAACAGTTCTAAGTAACTTGGTTCAGATAATAGACTTGGTGGTACAAAAAAATTTGGCCTGTCTTTAACTTGTTACTTCTGCATGTGCATAAGAAACCTTGACTTATTTAAATTATTGTTAGAAAAAGTTGTTTTGATGGGGAAATTTTGAGGCTAAAGTTTCAGATCTATAACAACTGTTTTTATCTTGTGGGAATTTTAATAAAAACTCTTGTTTAAATAAGTTATAGTTTGAGGCAATGAAATCTAGATCCCACTGAGCTTATCAAGCCTTTTTCTTAGCAGATTTACTATGTAGCTTTATAATTAAGAGAAGAAGTCTTCATCTGCACACAGTGGCACATGCCTGTAATCCAAGCCACTAGGGAGGTTGAAACAGGAGCACAAGTTCAAAGCCAGACTCAGCAACTGAGCAAGGCCCCGTCTCAAAGGGGGGAGTGGGTGGGTACGAAGCAGCTCTATGGTTAAGTGCTCTGGGATCCAGTGTCAATCTCTATTACCAAACAACAACAAACAAAAAAGAGTAGTTCTCTTAGTAATGCAAGTGAAATGCAGTTATTTTAGTTTGACCCTTTCTTTTTTTGAGGATCTGGAATTTTTAAAATAGCTTTTTTATTTCTAATTGTAATATGATTAGAGGATGTAGGCTTTTATAAATTAAGATTGTTTTGTGGCTTGGTGCATAATCAATTTTTGTTAAATACTATGTAGCCATAAATTTTTTTTCTAACTTGAGGGATATTTCCATGTAATAATTTGAGGTTGATAATTGTTTGTATTCAGTTATTCAAATTGTGTATTCATATATGGTGCATTTTTTATGTCATAGTCTATAATAAAAGGTTAAAAGATTAAAGAGGTATACTAAAACATAGCACTATTAAGAATTGAAAAAAAGTCACGTGTAAATGTGATGTTCTGGGATCAGGCTGTTAACTTCTGGGTGAATTTAAGGAGAGGGTGGAATATGGTCAAGTGAAGACAAGATGTCATGAGATACATGGATGCATTGGATGCCATCAAACTCTAGGGAGTTAACCATTGGCTTATAAGTTCTATGCCAAAACTTATGTGATTGAGCAGGCCTACTTAACTTTTTGCAAGTTACTTTGGGATTCTGTTACTGCTTGCATCTTCAGTAAATGTATTGTTCTTTCTCCTGGTAAAAGTTAGTAGGGGGTAATGCATGAAAAGTAAGGCAGGTTTGTTTAAAATGACAGCACCTATATGTCATAGGAGAAAAGTAGAACCTAAATATCTGATTATGTAACTTAATGAAGAAAGAGGGATGTGTTCTTCAGCAACTAGAGATTCATGGGAATAATGAGATGTGTATAAAGTTTTTAGACCAGTGCCTAGCATGCAGTAAGTAGCTGCTACTATTCTGTGACCCTTGATGTCCTATTGAACTCTCAGTGCCATTAGCTACCTTTCCTGCTCTCACCTCTCCTGTTATAGAGTGTAGGAGTAGGATGGAGGGCAGTGGCTGGGGGCCTCACATGTGATACCATCTCTGTAGGTAAATGCAATCTGCTATGGGGCCAAGATTATGCTGCCAGGTGTTCTCCGATATGAAGATGGCATTGAGGTCAACCAGGAGATTGTGGTCATCACTACCAAGGGGGAAGCAATCTGCATGGGTAAGGAGGGATGTCACCCTCATCAGTTCTGGAGATGGGGCTCCATGCTGCATCATCATAGCTATGCTTGCTGAGAACCAGTCTGCACATACTGACTCCTTAAGTTGATCTATTCATGGTGTCTCCTAAGGTCTACAGATGGTCACAGTAAAAGGGGAGGTCAGTCAGGTGCAGGTGAGGAGGAGATAAGTGGGGTTTCTCTTTCATATGAGTAGATTCTTGGCTCTCCAGAGAGAGAATATAGGAAATCACTGGTGATGAGTGGTTGTGGTTGTCTGTGGTAATCAAAAATAAAGATCCTTTATTTTGCTCCTTGTCTGCTTGCGGGTAGCTTAATAAGTAACTTTTTTTTTTTTTAATTTATGAAAGTTTCGCTACTATTGGGTCACTCCTTATGACTTTCAATACCCTGTGCCCCTCTTAATGAGTAAGTCAGACTATTCATTTAATAGTTCTAATTTATACCAGAAGTAAAGCAAAGCATGTCAACTCACTGAACTCTGTGAGCAGGTGAGGCAGTCATAGAAGGCTTCAATCCCACAGATTGAAGTTTCCAGGATCCATTTTCTTGTAACATTCTGTGGCCCTTAGGGGACATGTGTGCCAAGCCTATACATGTCCTAAGCCACAAACCTGCCATGTGTATCCACTTGCTTTGGTTAGGTGTCTTTAAATTGGTAAAGTTAGCACCATTTCAGAAGCTTCCTTCCTATAATGGAGGATTTTTCTCCATATTCACAGTCTAAGCAAAGGAAACCCCTGTTAAGGTAGTAGATCTCGGGACTGTAAGTGGGGTTTTAAAAGTCATGAGGCAGTAGAATTGGGATTCATCAGTTATCAAGCCCTTCCCCTTCAAATCATTCTTTTCTTTCCAATGCCTACAGCTATTGCGTTGATGACCACAGCAGTGATCTCTACCTGTGACCATGGTATAGTAGCAAAGATCAAGAGAGTGATTATGGAGAGAGACACCTACCCTCGGAAGTGGGGTTTGGGTCCAAAGGTAAGTAGGACTGGGTTTTAGGCCTTGCTGGGTTATTTTGCTTTGTGTTACTGTTGAGTACCTGCTCTTGTAAATCTTGGTGTGTCTTTACTACTGTAGCCTTGCATCGTGTTGGATTGTTGACAGTGAACAGAGTCAGGCTGCATCGTAGACCTCAAAGATTTGTGGCCTCATGGGGCAAAACAGTTGGGCATTTCTTAAATACATACATAGTAGGATGCTGAATTTTAGCCAAGTTAATGGCTTTTAGAAGTGCAGAGATGCTGGATGCAGTGGTGCACACCTGTAATCCCAGTGGCTCAGGAGGCTGAGGCAGGAGGATGACGGGTTCAAAACCAGCCTCAGCAAAAATGAGGCACTAAGCAACTCATTGAGACCCTGTCTCTAAATACAAAATAGGGCTGGGGATGTGGCTCAGTTGTTGAGTGCTCCTGAGTTCAATCCCTGATACCAAAAAAAAGGTCAGGGAGGTCCCCAGGGTTAGGGAATCCACAGTGAGGAGTTTATCTGGGTCAGGTAATCTGGGCAAGGGATTTTCTTTTAAAGCAGTGTGAAGGGTGGATGGGTTAGGTATTGGTGAGGTGAAGAGGGAACAATTCAGACAATTCTGCAGAGGAGGGGGACTCTCTTCTTAGAATACACAAGGCAGAAATGTTATGCCATTCTGTGCAAGCAGGGTAGGTCTAAGGGTATAGTGTGCCGTCACATTTTTTGCATTGATACACCATTCTAATTTTAACCCCAATGTATTACCAGGCAAGTCAGAAGAAGCTAATGATCAAGCAAGGTCTTCTGGACAAGCATGGCAAACCCACAGATAACACTCCTGCCACCTGGAAGCAGGAGTACATTGACTACAGGTGAGGGTAAGATGTTTCAGGGACTGGGTAGAGACAGGAAACTTTTCATTTGGACATTGATGACAGATGAGGTTGCAGATCCCTGGTAGAGAGTGAGAGTTTTATTTTGAGCGAATGTGCTAAGTGCCCAACTATAGGACCCAGTGCTTCAGTTCAGTTTTCTTCGCTGGGTTCTGTGAAACCTTGGCTGCCTGGGCCAGGTAAGGGCTCAGGCCTGAATAGCACACAGTTCTTTCTAATCTGGTTGTTTGACTCTTGAGGGAGTAAGTCTGTAATAGTAACTGGTGAATTCTGTCCAGAGTTAGTATTTTTGTGGTGGTTTTGGGCTTACCCAGTATTGCTGAATAACTCAGAATATAGCAGAACTGCTGTGAAAAACTGCTCAGCCAATTTGTCTTATTATTGCTTCTTCTATTTCAGTGATTCTGGCAAAAGAGAGGTGGTTGCTGAAGTATTAAAAACCACACCTTTAGTTGCTGAAGTGGTAAAAGCCCCACAGGTAGTTTCTGAAGCTGTAAAAGTCCCAAAGGTGAGTGGCATGCCATGGTCTGTTGGAAATGTGCTTTAGGAGATAATTCTAAACACCAGTGTTAGGCTCAGTTTAGCTTCTCACCCTCATCCTAGCTGCAGTGCATACACAGATAATGTCTCATATTCGCCTTGGGGGCCTGGTTGGGGCTCTGTGGGCTTCTCTGATTCATGTTCCCTGTGTGTCTGCTGTGAGGAGAATGAGACTAGCCAGCAGCAGTCCAGTGTTTAAAGGGTGAAAGTATATGGTGGCAACTTGGGTGATACTTAGTGACTTATAAACTGTTGGCAGAACTTTTCACTTGTCAGATGTGAATTCCAACTTTGCCTACATTCTGTAAGAATTTGGGGACCACTCTTAGGTCCTGTAGTCCACCTGTGAGAGAAATGACTTCTCAGGGCCTTCTAGTCCCTAAACCCCATGCACAACTCCTGTTGTGTCCCACAGCTTTACTTACTGTTGGGTCTAGTTGGGTTCTTAAGACTTTTGGATGTACTGAACTTTTCTTGTCTGTAACTAACAAGGACCTAACTTTCAACCAATCATTTTCATTTTAGCGGAAGCGAGAGAGTGAGAGTGAAAGTGATGAGAACCCTCCAGCAGCTCCCCAGTTGATCAAGAAGGAAAAGAAGAAGAATAAGAAAGACAAAAAGGCCAAAGCTGCATTAGAGCATGGGGGCGAGCCTGGAGATGGGGTATGTATAAACAGTTGGATTCCTTGGACTAGCTTAGTCCTTGGCTAGGGAAAGAATTAGGTGGTGCTGGCTTCATTACTCTTGAAGCTATAACACAAGGATGGGATGTTACCTTGATCTCTTACCTTTAGTGCTTCCCTGTGTTCTGGAGTGCCTTGTCCACTCTCATGGGATGAACATGGGGACATACTATATTAATGGGCCCAGTTCAAATTCTGTTGACAGTGGGTAGGAAGGATTTATACCTTCATCATCTGAATGTTTCAGCTTACAAAAGTAGACGATTAGGATGTCACAGACATCAGCTCACACGCAACATTTATCCCAGAATGTCCTTACAAGTCCTGAAAAGGGTTACAAACCTATGTGGAATTTATCAGATTTTCTTTGTGGGGAGTCATAATTGTTTTGCTTAATGGATGCTGTAAGCTTGTTTCTCTTCTCCAGGACAGTGACACCACAAAGAAGAAGAAGAAGAAGAAGAAGAAAGCAAAAATGGTGGAAGTGATGTCTGAGTAGTGAAGCTGACATTAAGCCTTGTGCCCAGCTGGTGGGAGAGATGAAAGCCTTATTGAGAAAACAGTTTCTTTTGTTTTGAGGGAGTAGAACAAAGGTTCTGGACAGGGTGGAAAGTTCTGGCACATTTTAGCTGCTACTTAAAACTTCAGTGATACTACCTGTTGTGGTCATCCCATCTTGTCCTGTTTTAAGGATGTGGGTGGATTAAAAAAAAAAAAAGGCAGATTGTATGCCATTGACTTCTATGCTTGCTTGAGTTGGGAAGCCTCAGTTTCAGACCTAGAACTGTCCAGTAACTGCCTGGATCTGTTTATTAATGACCATTTTTAACATTATAGTTCTCTCCTACTTTATTCTGTTTTTTTTTTTTTAACTTTGTTCAAAAAGTTTGTAAAAATTAAGTCTGCTCAATGAAACGGTGTAGAACTCTTGATAAATGAAAGAGTAACTGAACCAACATGTTCACTGGGGAAATCTTGTCTCCAATGGCCTTTGAGGACAGTGGTCTATTCTGGTGTTGGGTATGGGCCTCACAGGCCCAGTACTGTCCATCTTGTTTCTGGCCTAGCTGTCAGTCCTTTGTGTACTCGTCCAGTGCTTGTGTGTTCAGCAGCATTTACCCAAATCCATCTGGCTACTTGTGTTTGCGGCAGAAACAACTTTTCCTGTACCCTCATGTTATAAACCCTCATTTACATTTGAAGAATGGACTTGCTTATTGCTGGGAGAAGAGTGTTGTAATTTTTACATATTAAAGTTGACTCATGGCATTTCTAAAGTATTCCTGTTGGATTTTATAATTGTCAGTAATCTCAAACTGGCATAACAAAAAATATATATAATGTTTTGATTAAAAATCTGGGGACTTTAGTGTCCTGTGTAAAATTTTCTTTTCCTTTGTTAGTTTTTCATTTCTGTAGAACATTCACCTTGAGGCCTATCTAATAGGATAAAATACTCTTGAGGAGAGGTCATAAATCCAATATTTTGTTCAAAAGCACTGAGGAGAAAAGTAGATTTGTTACATAATGTCCCTGGGGTGGAACTATGCCCTGGGGGTGCTATTTGTACCTACAGACACATGGACTCCTAACTTACTGGTTGGAGCCTGCTAGTGTTATCAGTTCTAGTGCTGGTGAGTGGGCAGGAACCTGAAGGCCTTGGGGACATAAGACTGGCAAGGTCTAGGATTGCTTCCAATTTGGTGCCCAAAACCAAGAAAATACAAGCAACACTTTGTGGGAGAGTTTTGGCATGCAAAAAGGGGAACCCCCGAGCTCTAGCCAGATATGAAGAACATACCCTGGCACCAGCCCATCTGAGCGTCTGCTTCCCCAAGCTGCACAGCTGGGACCCCATCCTCAGTTTTTCTCCCTATAGGAGACTTGGCAGAAAGCTTTAAATGAGATCCTACTCAAGAGCTTTAAGGTGTTTTATGTGGGTACGAGACCCTGAAGACCTGTCATGCAGGCACTGTTTTCTGGTAGGGAACTTCTGTTAATCTTAAACTGCATCTAGACGTGAGAGGCATTGAAAAATTGCCTAGGAGTTGAAACAAAGCTGGAGATACTTCCCTTTCTAAGAGGTCTATGATGCAAATGGAAAACCCAGAGAGATCATTGGCATTTTAACAGCAATATTTTTATTGCTTTTGAGGATTCTCCTAGAGCAGACATTGTTTTGTACAGCTCTTTCATTTTTGGCATTTTAGAAATAGTTGCAGAAGATATTTTCTCTAAAAAGAAAAGATGCCTAGTATATTTGAAGGTGAAGGAGCTCAGACTTAAGAGGACAGGGTCTATTGCTATTTTATGAATCATCTTTGCTTAGCACTTGATTTTGATGATACTTATACTCCCAATTCCAGAGATCCTTTTGAAGTCCAGATCAATAGGACCCCATCTATCCAAACCCTAGCCCTTCAGGAACCTGAGCAAGAGCAGTGGATTCTATTGGCCTATTTAGGACAATTGCAGAGAGCTGGAAGCGAACACAGAACTAGTTGAAGCGGCCCTGCTTGTCTTAAAGCAAGGGGAATGGGAGTCCCAGCTGCAGGGGAGAGGCATACAGTGGGTCCTCCCTGATTTGCAAGCTTAGTAAACCCAGGAGACAGGCACCCATTGTGGAGAACTGCATGCCTGGTCAAAGGCTTCTTGCAGTTTCTTAAGGGTTTCATCAACGTCATTATTGACCAATGAGAGATCAAAATAATGAGCGTACTGGCTGCGGATGGCCTCAGAATCCTTCTGTAGCTGCTGGAGGGCTTCCGTCTGTAAACAACAACAAAGAATAATGGCTGAAGCATCCTGGGCTCAGGCCAAGGTGAGGTTTTAAGTAGGCATTGATTTCTGTTAGAATTGTCCAGTTCCCTATCACCTGTTTTTGTTTTGTTTTTGGCATGATGCTGGGGGTTGAACCCCGGACTTTCTGCATGCTAAGCAAGTACTTTACGAGTGAGCTATAACCCCAGTTCTCCCTATCCAACTATGTGAAGGATCAAACTCAGAAGATATTAATTGCCTGAGGCAGTCAATTAAGAACACTTGCACATCTCACAGGATCTCAAGGTAACCCTGATTATAAATAATCAAAGCCCTCTGGAAGACCAATAGTAGCTGTTCCATAGCATGGACTTCATCAGCATCTCCCAGTTAATGCCCTTTAGTGTGCTACAGAGCCATTTCAGCAACAACTAAGAGTTGTAAAGTTGTAATCCCAGGGCAAAGATAAATGGGTCCTAAAACCATATGACTTTTTTTTTTTTTTTTTTGTCCCAGATCAAATCACCATGAAAACACTGGTCATTAAACTACAGAAAAGTGAAAATGATTGTGACTGTTATCACAAAGGACCAATAACCCTAATATAGAGTTCCTGGAAATGGTAAGAAAAAGGCCAATAACCCAATGGGTAAATGAGCTAAGGATGTGGCCAGATAAAAAGTATGAAATACATTTCTACCTCTATTCGAATGGCAAAAAATGAAAAGTTTGACAAAATTCTATAAGCAAAGGGAAACATTCTCAGGCCTCTCTTTCCCCATGGCCATACTGTACCCCAGGATAGGTTCAGTACCACTTATATTCTTCACAGCTCTCTCTGCTTGCCCTACCAAAGCTCATACCACACCAATGTCAGGACCTGCCACTTGAACCATATGTCTCAACAATGACCCTCATTTGCCTCTGTCATCTGAGTTGTGGCCTAATGAATAGAACTACCCAGACTGAGTGAACCCCACCAATATTGAACAACCTCTTCTCACCTGAGCACCCTGGTCAGTAGGTGCAATGAACACAATGAAAGGTGAAAGTTCTGCTGTTCGAACAATCTTCAGGGTCTAGAAAGAAAAGGAGGAAAAGGAAAGAAAAAAGCTGTCACAGTGGATTCCTTTTCATAAGCAACCCAATAGTATTTTCTATCATTTCCAGTACTACTAGTCTTGTTCCAGGCTGACCCCACTTAAAGTATATGAAGCAACTCAGCTCCCAGAAGATTCCCAGGAACAATGCTTTTCATCATCCCCGTCTTCATCCCTTGCATGACTAAACCCATCACTCTTGAGTTTCTATGGCTACCTACCTGGGGCTCAATGTCAAGGATGGCAATCTTGTCCTGCTTATGAATCTGATGCACTGTTTCAAATTTGGTTCCAAACATGTTGCCCTGGTAGCTGCCAAATTCCAAGAACTCATTGGCAGAGATGTTCCTTGTCATCTCCTCTGTTGAAATGAAGTGGTACTCTTTTCCATCTTCCTCACTCTTCCTTGGTGGCCTTGTTGTATCTGTGTGCAAGGACCAAAAATCCCTGATGAGCTCTGGGTCCTTGACATTTCTTAATGGCTTGGCCTTTCATGTCTATATAGAAACTCTGCCTGAGCTAGAAGGCAGTGCAGACCAGGAATCACCCCATCTGCCTATTGCATATTTGATTTTTAAAAGGCAAATCCTAATGAAAAATTTTTCTTTCATTTTCCCTATATGAAGTTACATATCTCAAATGACCAAATCCAGGGATACTGAAACTTGAAAATAAAGAAATGGCAAATGAAAATATTTTAAATATGGATCTATGGGCTCTGGTCAGGATTTCTTGGAAATATACTCTTTTATGACCTGGAAAGAAGAGCACTTCAGGTTAGTTTAAACTCACATTGTTAAAAAGTTAAAATGTGATTAAGAGACACATCTATTACTAATATAAATTTTCTAATAAGGAAAACATGCTCCAGATATTGTAGCTTCAAACAACCTCCCAACCACTCCTTTCCATCTTCCATTGAACATCTCCTTTGCCTTCCACACCATCCCCCTTTTCTCTCTCAACTGGCTCCCTCCTCTCAACCCACAACTTCTTAAAAACTCTTTCCATTAAGCAAAACAACTCTAACTCACTTCTCACTCAAACTTATAAGGAGCCCATAATGATTATTTCTACTTCCAGACTTGTTCCACCACTCCTTGACCCAGGGCCATCTGCTTTCTGTTCTGAATATGTCACCAGAATGAGTCTCCCTCTGGACAACTCATTGATTCATGAGTAAAAAGGCAAAATGGAGACATAAACAATGGGAAAAAATCAGATTCACAATATGGTTTTCTAAGCAGTATCTCTTTCTGGGAATATACACAACTGTACTGTGTAGATTCACTTCTTGATATGAAAGAGTTCTCTGTGCATTTGACTGCTGGCCCTATTCTCCATATCTAAGACTGCTACCATGATTGTGCAGGTGTTTCCTAAACACTGCTTTGATTCAGAAGACATTTCATGAGAATTAGAGGCAGCCTAAATGTCAAACAATAGTGAGAAGAGAGCTAGAAAATGAAGATAATGTCAGGTAAAAGTTGTTTTATAAGTGACTCAGAAGACATTTCATGAGAATTAGAGGCAGTCTAAATGTCAAACTACAGTGACATAATCAAGTAAATTATTATACAAATTATAGTACATCAATTGACTATGAAATAGTTCTCAAAGTGAATTAGAGGACCATGAGAAATTGTTTATATAGTAAAATAAAAAAGTAATACATATAAATTTAATTCTTGCTTAATTTTTTAAAACAGAATAAAAATGTTGACCTCAGCTTCTGTTATGTAAAATAGAACAATAAGAAAACAATTTATGTTTGTGAGCTGCAGCAATTGCAGGTACAAGTTTTTGTCTTTCCAAATTTTTAGTTTTTATAATCAAAAAATAACAAAAATGGCTGCAAATCATTTCAGAGAGCTGTGTTAAATGTGATAATATGCAATACAGATGCCTGTCCTTCAGGCTTTTGCTTCCCTTCAAGATGCCCAAGAGCTACTTACATGGGGCAGGGTACACAAACTTCTCTGGATTCTGGCTTAGCAGGGCATTCTTAATGTGGCTGCGACCTACCCCACTGGCTCCTGCATGGAGAAAGAAGAAAGGCTTCTATCACTTTCCCCCAAAGACAAAAGCTGGGATGGGAGTGAGGATGGGACATGGATTTTCATCTCTCAGTGCTCAAAATTGCCAACAGGTGTTAGGTGCAGTGGTGCACACCTGTAATTCCAGCAACTTGGGAGACTGAGGCAAGGGATGCCAAGTAGGAGGCCAGCCTCAGCAACTTTGCAAGGTCCTAAGCAACTAAGTGAGACCCTCTTTCWAAATAAAAAAATGAAAAGGGCTGGGGATAGAGCTCAGTGATTAAGTGCCCCTGGGTTCAATCCCCAGTACCCTTCCCCCAGCCAAAAAAAAATTGCCAGGAAGTGAAAAATGAGTTGATGTTCCATGTGGGCTGGG